TGGTGTGTGTGTGTGTGTGTGTGTGTGTGTGTGTTTTAAGTATTCTTCCCCCCCCCTCCATTCTAATTAGCTCCTAGGGGGCCCATGGAATTGCTGGCATCTCCATTGCCAAGCCCCATCATGTTTTAAACCTAGTTCACCTTCAAAAGTGTTTGACAACAGTCAAGTGTAGAAACCAATAAAGCAATAGCTGGTTTTTCTTTGGGGAACTGACAGTTTTTCCCCCCTCTTGACTAGATGTATATGCTAAACTTAGCTGTAAACTTATGAGCACAGAATGCTGAGAAAGTCTACTTGAAATATAACTGCAAAGGTATACATAGGCTTAAGAATGAGGTTTGGATGTACATTTCAATTCAAATCAGGAAAATTAAGAAGCGGTAGTACAGAGAGTGACACTATTCTTTGCGGTGCTGATACAGAATAGCTTTTGCCTTCTCAGTGATTAAAATTGTGCTTTCTGTATTGATGGTATGCTCTGCAGGCCTCTCATTCTAAGCTACAAACGTTACGTGCCTGAATTGTTACTTGAAGACTTGCTTTCAAGACATTAAGGTTATTAGTTTGCTTTTACAGCCTATTATCTCTGCATCTGTATCTTTATACAATATTGTCACCGAAAGACAGTATATCTCACAGGTCCTTGACAAGTTTTCTTGAATGTAGTACCCAAAAACGAAAATCTTAAATGCAAGGTTCAGTAAACCCCGAGGAGTCTTTATATTAAAAACAAAACAGGAAACAAGAGCACTTTTACAAACTGGTTAAAGTATTTTACAACTGCACTAGTAACATACAGAGTAGGGCAAAAGTAGGTTTGCAGTTTTAACATACAAGTTTATTTTTGTATTTTTTATTTCTGGATTGACTTCTATACGAATTGTAACCCTTTCGCACACACATCTTCCACCTTATTTTGATGAGTGGATTTAACTTGTGCGACAACTCTTGCCACTTTTTCAAGTGAGCACTGTTTAACCAGCCTATGTTCAGGTCCCAGAACCACAAGGCTCACTCCCCTTAAGCAAACCGAAATGACTTAACCTGGGGAACAATCTTTAGGATTGAGAAAAGGGGAGGACTATACTTTAGCCTTAGTAAAAGCTGGGTAGTGCCTCAAGCACCACTCACCTCCCTCCCCGTCTGTAGCAAAGGCAGTTTCCTATATCCTGCGGAACAAGTGCCCAGCTCTTCCAAGGTCTCCATGGGTGGCCCTAAAAAGGGCCGTTAGGGTTAGTGCACGTGTAAGAAGCCTGCAGCAGGGCTAACCTCCGAAGCCATACAGGGTGCGGCCCTGCCGCTTCAGGGCGTACACCACGTCCATGGCCGTCACCGTCTTGCGCTTCGCGTGCTCCGTGTAGGTCACGGCGTCCCGGATCACGTTCTCCAGGAACACCTTCAGCACACCCCGCGTCTCCTCGTAAATGAGACCCGAGATCCGCTTGACGCCCCCGCGCCGAGCGAGGCGCCGGATGGCGGGCTTGGTGATGCCCTGGATGTTATCTCTCAGCACCTTACGGTGACGCTTGGCGCCACCTTTGCCGAGGCCTTTGCCGCCCTTGCCTCTTCCAGACATGGCTGCTGCCGGAACCTGAAGACACAAGCCTCAGTCCCGGTGAACCCAGCTCGTGCCTTAATATACGAGACCATCGGACCAGATTGAAAACCCCGAGCGAGCGGGCGGGAGGCGGGCGAAAATGGCCCCGCCCCTCCAGCGTCTCTTCCTGTGTGTCCTGCCCCTTCTCCACGCTCCACGCCGCCCTAACGGACACTGTCCGCCGCAGTCCCGGCAGCATTCAGGGTCCAAAGCCAGGCTTCCGATTCCACTGCTGTTTTCGTCCTTTTCTAGCCGAGTGGGCTCCCCCAAAGAGTTAAATTTAGGCAAAAAGGAAAGGTCTTTGGGGATGGGTGGCGGGGTGTGGGGGGACCAGAAGAGCAAATAGGAGTCCAGTGACGAAACGGTAACGAGAGTTCCAGTGCCGAACCTAGTGTCAACAAGAGGGTCCCAAGCTTCCAATGGTGGTTGCAGAAAAGGGCTACAGGCGGTACAGAACGCTAGACCAACGGAGGGATCAGGCACCTGAGATATGGGGGAAGGGAGGAGGGCGAAGTCGCCATAATGCCCGCATCAGGTCCCTATTTTGGTGGTGTGGGCCAGAAGACCACCTCTCCCAGGAGAAATGAGAACCTAGGAAACGGCTCTCACCATGTGGGCAAACCTGGAGATCAGAGAATCCAATGCACTGTCATCCAAAACTCTACTTAAAGAAGCAATATACACAGGAAGAGAATGGAAGGGCATTCTGCAACTTTCTATTTGCTGAAACTGACACTTGTTTTCAGCCAGGTTTCAGTTCCCAAACGGTACCCACTGAGACTCCACGTAGAGCTCCAAAGTTTGCTGAGTTGGGTTTTCCAAGTTGACACCTCCATATTGACAGTCTATCGGAAACTCTGTGCAATTGATTGGGGTCCTTATTGATACCCCATTAATTTAGCAGGGCCTTTTTAGGCCAGTTCGTGAGAAGATGCGGTTTCTCCATCAGACTGGTGTTTTTGAGAAATGTTTATCTTTTTAAAAATCTCATGAGCCTTCTATCTCTCCTTTGGCTCTACCCTCTGTATGTTAATGAATTCTGTATCCAGATTCCTAGGCTTCATACATGTAGATCTAGCCTCCTGTTTGTTCTTTAGTCATTTGAAATTCAAAACTCACACTATCCAAAATTCAAAATATTTGAACTGAAAATCACTAAGGTGGGACTCTCGTGACATCTGAGACTATTCCTTCTCCCACCTCCTCATCTATCTGTTCACTGAACGGTGCCATTGCATCGCATGTCTAAAACATGTAGATGTTGAAGTGCAATAGAATGTGCCACCCCAAAATGTGAATAGTTTGGGACATGCCATACCAAAATCATGTTTTGGTGTGTTATTTTGAACCATATGTACTTGAAAAACGGCAATTTCAGGAACAGCCTTTTTTTATATTTGAAATCTCTCTTGGTAGATTCTCTTTTAATTGCACCCCATCCCATCCCCAGCAAAGAATGGACAAGCTCTTGGTTATTTTAATGGGGCAAGAATTGGGGAAGGAGGGGGGATGCTAAGGCATTTTAGATCATACAGGACAGGCTTTCTTTGAATTCCCCTTATCTGCCTATAGGCAGGTCCCAAAAAAAAGAACTCAATTATCTGGGCTTAAGGATTAAATTGACACAAGGCTGATCACAAGCAAGAAAGCATACAAATTTTAATATGCATATGTGTACACAGTAGCATTCAGAAGGAAATGAAAACCTAAGGAGCCTAAAAGTTTCTACATGTCTCTTAAACAGAACAATAAATTCTGAGCCTTGGGCTGGAGAAAGTAAATTGTGGGACAATGACTAGAAGATATATGGGGGAAAGTCATGGACAATACAGGTATCTTAGTAGATTGATTTGCGTAGATCTATTTTAATGTCAATCCCCTGTCTCAGGTGTAAAGAATATTCTTCCTGCTACTGGGAGGATACCTTTCACATGGGAAAATTTATGAGCTATTTTTAGGTAAAAGAGGCAGATTTGAGAGCTCTTCCTTTGCCTGCTATTTCTCAAGTGCCTTCAGATCAAAATCAACATACTACTCAATGGCATGTTTTGGGGTGGCATATTCTGCACCCCCTCAAAACTCTTAGCTACAATAAGGAAGGCAAAATTGTACTTCTACTCTCTTAGGATTTTAGACTGTACCTGAGAATTAAATTGGCATGAGACATACTAATGGAAGGAAACATACAAGTTTATTTACTGCAAATTTTACTTGCCATGGATTCCTCAAAAAGGGTTGACTATTTACCTGTTAATAGTGCGAATTAATTGCTAACCAGTTAATAATTCGTATTGATTATTTACTGGTTAATGTGGATTCATCCTTTACCTGTTAATAATGCGGATTTTGCAATCAAACACGATAATTTCAAGAGAGACATCAAACTGCTTTGTTCAAAGTAATGTCCATCACTAGCTACACATTCCCCCCATCTTCCAGGTAATTTGCGGATACCGTCCCAATAGAACTTTTCTTGTTTTGAGGCAGACCAGAGATCCAATTTTCGACTTCTTCGAACGTTTTGAAGTGCTGCACTGAAAGTGCATGTGTCATCCACCAGAACAAGTGGTCATTTGAAGGAGCAAGGTCTGGTGAATACAGCGGGTGGGTTCATACTTCCCAGGAAGATCTTTTAACGGGTCTTTAACTGGTTTGACATGTGTGATGGATGGTGCCAGAATGGGGGGCGTGCCTTGAGGTCCCCCATCAAGTCTCCCTGGGCAGAGGGGCACGGCCTGAGTTCCCCCGGCTTAGCACTGGGGGTGCACCTTGAGGTTCTCCATCAAGCCCCGTTGGATGGGGAGCACGGCCCGAGGTCCCCTGTCAAGCCCTGCCAGGCAGGGGAGCTCAGCCTCAGGTCCCCAGGCCGGGTGCTGGGGCGGGGAGAGCAGCCTGAGGTCCCCTGGCCCAGCAATAGGATGGGAAGTGTACCTTGAGGTTCCCCGTCAAGCCCCACGGGGGAGTGGGAAGGTGGGGGGAGAAGAGTTCAATGTGAGCTGAGGTATTGTTGCAAAAAATCAAAATCAATATAGTAAGAGAAAGTTTAACTTGTCTTCATCTGGCGCTGCACATCTCTTCCATACATGGCCACAGGAAAGAGAAAGGCACCAGCAAAACAGATTCCACCCAAACTGGCTACTGTCGCTTGATATAGTTTACTGGTTAGGTGAAATAGAGCATTTTTATTGGTTCACAAGGCTTTTGTTCTTATGATCACTGGGGGAGCGTGAGCAGCGCCTTACTGACACCGGCTCAGCCTCTATGACGCCACTGTTGGAGATTAACCAATGGAAACGCAGTCTGTCCGAGTCCTCATTTGCATATAGGCCCTATAAGTAGCTCACAACCAATTCAGTTGCAGTCGCGGTTGGTTCAACTCGTGAGTGGTTCCTTCTCTTCCAAGATGCCTGATCCAGCAAAGTCCGCTCCTGCTCCCAAGAAGGGCTCCAAGAAGGCTGTGACGAAGGTGCAGAAGAAGGATGGGAAGAAGCGCAAGCGCAGCCGTAAGGAGAGCTACTCCGTGTACGTGTACAAAGTGCTGAAACAAGTCCACCCGGACACCGGCATCTCGTCCAAGGCCATGGGCATCATGAACTCCTTCGTCAACGACATCTTCGAGCGCATCGCCGGCGAGGCGTCGCGCCTGGCGCATTACAACAAGCGCTCCACCATCACGTCCCGGGAGATCCAGACGGCCGTGCGCCTGCTGCTGCCCGGCGAGCTGGCCAAGCACGCCGTGTCCGAGGGCACCAAGGCCGTCACCAAGTACACCAGCTCCAAGTAAGGGCGACCAGGACAGGCGATAGAACAACCACTTTACCCAAAGGCTCTTTTCAGAGCCACTTCAGTTGTTGGAGAAGCAGCTGTTAAGCACTTGTTGTGAGGTTGGTAAGCTTCTATCTACGTGGGGCGGGCCTAGGGCTTGGCCGGGGTCTTCGTGGTAACAGGAGTTTTATTTCGTACCGACCCCGTTTCCGTAGTTCTCAGTGGGCGCTTAGGTGCACAGGAGCAGGGATTTTCATTTTTGGGATGAGCTCGCTGGGTCTTACTCTCGCGTGAGCTATCTCAGTTGCAAAGTTCTCTAGCTCATTTCATCCTATAAAGCCACATGCTCAAGTTTATTGACCTACAAAGTAAGTATGCACCTGGCCGTCTCCCACTTCCCTGTCCAATAACCAGCCATTTTGTCCCCATTCATTGGGCGCAACAGCCAGAGAATGCTTGTCAGCACTTGAGAAGAGAGATACTATCAGTATCTGGTGGGTAGTTATCAGGGAATAGTCTCATAACCAAGATTCACCTGGTCCAAAACGCCTTTGCTACGTAGTGAGGAGACCAAACAACTTTCAGAGCATTTATTGAATCTTCAATTCCGTCAAACCTTTCCTCAGCCCCCACCCAACCAATATTGCTCTTCGTGAAAGCCAAGCAGTTCAGACTTGGACGCCTCCACAGGAGGATTTTCTCCAGGGTGAGAACCTTGCCTTTGTTCTGCAACAAACTCCTAGTTTATAAGAGTTACTTTGGTGAGATCTTTCCAGGTGGCTCCTGAATTGCCTTATGAGGTGGGACCAGGGAGGTGCTTTTTAGTGCTCCCAGGTGTTTTGTGTATGTGCGTGCGCGCGCGTTTTACATTTTCATTGATTTCAGAGAGGAAGGGGAGAGAAACATCAATGATGAAAGGACCGTTGATTGACTTCCTCCTGCACAAATCACACAGGCCTGTGTCCTTGACCAGAATCAAACCTGGGACCCTTCAGTCTGCATGCAAGCTGATGCTCCATCCACTGAACCAAACTGGCTAGGATTTATTCTTTTCATAATAGGCTTTGGGACCATGAATACAGAAGTCCACAGCTTTGCCCTATCCGGTTTGGCTCCAACTAAGCCACTCAGGCCGGGCTTAAGGGTAGATATTTGCCTATCTTTTCTGCTTCTCCTATAGCTTTATTTTGCTGGTTCAATTCCTGGTCAGGGCATATACCTGGTTGCAGGCTCGATCCCCAATCATCCCTTCAAAGGGCAACCAGTTTCTCACTTTGATGTTTCCTTCTCTCTCAGCATATTCTCAGGTGAAGATTAAATAATACTTTTCTTTTTTAAGGCACCAGTTTTACCAGACCTTAAGGGGAGAGATATCTATATTCTATAAATTGACCAAGGTAATGATAAAAGATGTTCTAGGTCACAATACACAAACCTGTTGCAAATGCCTATTTCTTCTCTTCAAGGATTTATTCTGCCCTTCCAGAAGAAGTGGGCCTCAAAGTCACAGCCAGACTCCAGATGATTGCTGTTTCACTGGGGATCATGTCAGTGCTTCCTCAAAATTAAATTATCAGAGAATACATTTGGGAAATGTATTTCTCCAGAATGTGTAAGCCAATTGTTTCTAGTGGTTCTTAAGAGATTTTATACCTCCATTAACTCATGTAACATGTTTGGGGATCTCTTCCTTTAACATATGCTTCCTCCCCACAATTTATTTCCTATCCTCTCTAAGGGTGAGTAATAGGTGCTTAGTGTAATATGGAGGTGAAAGGAGAAGACGAAGATGAGCTTCTTACCCTTTGGGGGTTTTGACCCCATATTTAGAAACAAAGCAAGGAGTAGTGAATAACGGAAGGGCAGCAAACACTTTTATTGGCTCCCATTTTACTGCTAATGTGCATTAGCAAAGTCTGCACCTAAAAGACCACCTTACAGAGGCCCACATTTTCAACTTTGTTTTTTGTTGATTTTTGTTGTTTTTTGCAGCTTGCCAAAGCTTAATATACAGTTCTCTTAAGGTCTTCTCTTAGAAATCCCATCTGGAGCAAAGAACCCAATGGGCCTGGACTCTTGCAGAAGCTCCGGTGGTCATACAATGAGTTTTGTGTTTCTTAAATATATATTTTATTGACTTTACACAGAGAGGAATTGAGAGGGATAGAGAGAAACATCGCCCAGCTGCCTCTTGCACACCCCCCACTGGGGATGTGCCGGCAACCAAGGTATATGCCCTTGACCGGATTCGAACCCGGGACCTTTCAGTCCGCAGGCCGATGCTCTATCCACTGAGCAAAACCGGTTTCGGCATACAATGAGTTTTAGGGCTCTCCCTAGGAGGCCTGGAACGTGAAGAACAATTCCTCCTCCCTCCCTTGTCCTGCCCTCCACATAACCAGTTGCCTGTTCTCCATTCGGTCTACTCTGGAGTGTGATTCTTGGGTCTGGAAGCCCTGGGGAGCTGGACTCACGAGCCTCTCCAATGAAGCCTAGATAGGGCCAACAGACCCTGGAAAGCCCTGCTAAATCTGACAGCTAAGAAAGAACTCACCTCCTTCCCCCAAACCCACCCACCCACCCTTCTCCCTCTTAGTTGCATCAGTCAGTCCCCTCCGGGGTCTTGTTCTCAGTCCTGGAACCTCTTGTCAAGGGGATAAAATGGGCCTTGGGTTTGCCCCTGAGGGTGCAGGCCCATAGTTCCCCTATGCATTTCGGAGCAGACCTTGCAGAGCCTGGAGGCTCCCTGCACTGGGGCCTGCTGCTTCCGAGTCCTTTCCTGGCTCTGAGGATGGAAGAACAGCAGGAAGGTGGCCTATACTTTGCTGCCATCTCGCTCTCCCCCTGCTGCCGCTGCCTCCTCTCCTCGGGTCCCGCACCCCTTCCCTTCCTGAGGTCGCCCGGGCTGGGTTCCCGCGGAGCCCTGGCGGGCGGAGCGCTCAGCCCGCGCGCCCCGTGCCTCCCAGCAGCCCCCGCGCGCGCGAGGCGGTGGCCGAGGCTGCAACTTCTACAGGCGGCCGCGGGGTGGCGCCGCCGCCGCCGCCAGGTTCGTGAGGAGGCGGGTCGGCCCTATCCCCGACCCCGCCCTTCCCACCTCCCCTCCGGCGCAGGCCTAGGTAGGAGTGTTTCTTTTTTTTTTTTTTTTAATATATTTTATTGATTTTGTACAGAGAGGAAGGGAGAGAGATAGAGAGTTAGAAACATCGATGAGAGTCATCAATCAGCTGCCTCTTGCACACCCCCTACCGGGGATATGCCTGCAACCAAGGTACATGCCCTTGACCGGAATCGAACCTGGGTCCCTTCAGTCCCCAAGCCGATGCTCTATCCATTGAGCCAAACTGGTCCCGGCTAGGTAGGAGTGTTTCAACTCCGCGGGCCGGAGGCTGCAGCCATTGCCTCTGGCTTCCCGCGATGCTTGCTTCCTCCCGCGGCGGGCCGGGCCCACCGGGAGCCAGCGTCTCACACCGGCGCCCCCGGCGAGAGGTGCGGGCCGGCTCACCAGTGGAGTGCTCTCCGGTACCGGGCACTCGGACACGCGCTGGCCCCCGCTCTCCTCCGCCCACGCCCTCTAGAAGCCGCGGCGTCAGCGGTCCCGGAAGCCCTTTTCCCTGGAGTTCTCCGCCCGCCCGGCGAGGGCGGCCGAACGCGTCCTCTGCGTGACGTCACTTCCGGCTCCGATTCCCAGTTCCTCACGCGGTCCCTACATGGGGCGCGTTCCCTGCTATTCTCATCTGGTCCACAAGACAAAACATTCTGTGCAATCAGCGGAACTTAAGCTGTTATATGTGACCATGTCCTTTATTTATTTATTTTTTTATTACCAAACTTTATTCTTTGATTGTTGTTCTCTTTTGCACACTAGACCCAACCTCAGCCCCCTCCCTGGACCTTCACCACATTGTGTCCTTGGGCTATGCATATATGTCATTTGATTAATATCTTCACCTTCTTTTATCCAGTCCCACCCCACCCTCCCCTGCTCCGACAACTCTGTCTGTTCCATGTTTCCATGCCTCGGGTTCTATATCGTTTGTCAGCTTATTTTGTTCCTTAGATTCCATCAGCCTGGACAACTTGTGTAAAAACTCCATTCCATGCTGGGCCTGAAACATCCCAAAGCTCAATTTTGTAATTAAGTTGTGACTAAGACTTAGATGTTGCAAAAAGGGTAGTGATCCAAATGTATTCCTCTCAATAAATTCTATTTTATTGCAGGATAAGTCTAAATACTGGAGGGAGTGCAGGCCTTCAAATGAATCCTTACGCAGTTCTCTCAAATTATTTCCACTGAGAATTAGTTTCTCAACCAAATGGTATGACTTCCACGTGTCTTTACCAATGTAAGAAATAGAGTTTCCTTGCAAGTTTAAGACAGTAAAAGTACCACTGTAGGTGTGGAGCTCTGGCACGGGCACTCTGTGGAGTCTCTGCTTTGGGCCGAGACCAGTACAGGAAAGTGTTCCATTACTGCAGGTACAGAGCTTACATATGTTCATGGTGGCACCCTGTTCAGTCACTGGAGGAACTGTCTCAGAGGACTCTCGTTGCTGAGTTCTGATGACTTCCGGGTCCACAGACTGGACCGTGACTTCGGTCAACATTGGCTGCTGAGCCTGAATAGGCTCTGGAAGCGCCACCTCAGAGGGCTTTGGGGGAGCTGTAATCTGCTGCAGGGCTGCACCATCAGCTTCCAAAGTAGGTTCAGGGGTGATAGTCAGCTCCTGGTCCGGCGGTTGAAATGTTGGCTGCTGAGCCTGAACAGGCTCTGGACGTGGAAGTGCCACTTCAGGGGGCTTTGGAGGAGCTCTAGTCTGCTGTAGGGCTGTGGCTTCAACCTCCGAAGTAGGCTGAGCTGGGGTCTCCTGCTGGGATGGAGGCTTGAGCTTGTCTGTGAACTTTGGAGGATGAGCTGAGACCTTGTCAGTTGCAGATAGTTCAATATTTGTAGGGGGCTCTGAAGTGATCAAAACCCCCAGATCCACACCTTCAACATTGATAATAGGCAACACTGGATGCTGAGCTTCACCCGAACCAAGAGGTGAGACTGTCTCCTCATGATGGACTGAAGGTTGAGCTACGACATCCATAGAGGATTTCCGGGGCTGAGCTCGACCCTTCTGCTGGACTGGAGAAGGCTGTACACCTGCCAGACACACATGCGTGGGTGTGAGCTCTTCTGCTGGATTGAAGATTGAACACATTCAGGGGAGGATGGAACTCCTTGGTGGACTAACAACGCTTTCAGTGGCTCAGAGGACACTGTAGACTGAGCTTGAGCTTCATGTTGGGGTGGAAGCTGAGCCGAAGCTTTCTGGGAGTTTGGAGAAGCTTCCCTTGTCTCGGAGGACTCTGGAGGCAGAGCTGAGACTTCCTGTCTGGATGACGGAAGTTCATCGTCTTCAGATATACATATAGGGTTTTGCTGATCCCCAGGGGGAACGGAGGTCAGCAGGACAGGGACCAAGGCCAGAGGATAAGCAGCCTGAACTTGCAGCCACATCAGCTTCCATGTGAACAGGAGCCATGAGGCCCAAAGGTGCAGCCCGGACATGACAGGCACAGGTCCCGGGCACAGCAATCCCTTCTAGGCAAATGAGGCACTGGCACCATGTGCTGAGTATGAACCCAACAATTGGCAGACGTGTCACAATTGGTAGCTATGCCATGTATGTGCCACTTGGCAACCAAGCACCCCTCCCCCACCTCAGGTTCCAAACTTTATTTAAGTAAGCTTTATTAATCGTAGGCTGAGAGTGACTTCAGAAGAGCGAGCCTTCTTAGCAGAATCACCAGGGACCAAGTGGTCCTTTCCCCCTGCATAAAACACAACTACCTCTCCCTGGGTCTCTCCTCCCTCCTCACCACTGTGAAGATTTGTGCTTCACACCTGGTGGCCCAGAGTCCAGCAGCCCAGGGATGGTGAGATGGTGGGGTGCCGGGGAGGGCTGTAGTGCTTCCCAGTGACCATGTCCTTTAATAAAAATGTTGGAGTTGTTGGGCTTCCATTGAGATGATGATAATTGTACTTTTTTTTTTTCCCCTGAAAGTGAAGGGGAGAGGACATTCTCCTTGTCCACAGGCTAGGGAAGCAGGGGACTAAGCTGCTCTTCCATCTACTTCCCGTCCCAAGTTGCTCGAGGGTGCTTCCAGGTGGTGGGTGTTGCAGGTGAGCTCGTCCTGTGGAGCCAGACCAGAGGCTAGGCAGGAATGTGCCCTTGTTTGGCAGATGGGCTACATTTTTTTAAAACTAAATAATTTGTTTATACCCTTTTGTGTGTCTTTTTCTGAGATAAATTTTTTTATTTCAACTTTATCTCAGCTGTGTTGTGTGGAGTAGCAGGGAAACATTTTGTATCCAAAAACACAGCCCAAATGAGAGACCAGCATATAATATAAATATATAAATATATAAATATAAATATAAATATAAATATAAAAGTATAAATATATATACTTGAGAGAAACATCAATGTGAGGTTGAACTGGCAAGCTAGGTGTGGGCTCTGACAGAGAATCAAATTACCACCCCTCCCATGCCCAGATGACAACTGAGCCGCACTGTCCATGGTCAGAGCAGTGTATCTTGAAGCTAGTTCGTATTCACTCAGAAAATCGGAAAGATAAAGTAAATCTAGGAGGTAGGAATTGAGACTTTAGGATGTCACTGCTCCGTCCTATTTGAAGCTTCTCCTTGCAAGTGCCAAGCTTGGAGCTCTGCGTTTAATTTATTAGGAAAAGCAGCCGTTACATTCTGCTTTTCCAAAGCGCAGGGATTGAGGACAGACAGCAAGAACCCCGGTTATCTCTGGACACAAGGAGGCTATGAGAAAGCCTCAAATGAAAAGGCAAAAATAATGCACCCATTTCTCATCCTGAGTTATTTCCTCACTTCCCTTTAACCTTCCCTGCTGGTGCGCTAAAGAAAAGGTTATCAAGTAACCATCCTGAGCCCCACAGAGATGTGAGCTCTCATTTCTACAGTCTCGCAGAAGTCATTTGCAAGTTATGTTTCCTTCCTTTCGTCTATACTATTTCTACTTGTATCCCTTCTCTCTCTCTCTCTCTCTCTCTCTCTCTCTCTCTCTCTCTCTCTCTCTCTCTCTCTCCCTCTCAATCTCTTATACATATGCAAAAGACTTACCTTTTCACCCTGTCCCCAGAAATATTGCTCAAAATATTTAATAGGATAATCAGGTTAGACTTGACTTCCAGTTTTTAAATATTCCTTTAGAGGAGGTCTCACATCAAATCATTCCTGATTATAAGATTTCCAAGTTTTACCTTCATTGAAGTCAGCTCATTTATTTGCTTTTTATTATTATTTTTAAATATATTTTATTGATTTTTTTTACAGAAGAAGGGAGAGGGATAGGAAGCTAGAAACATCGATGAGAGAGAAACATCGACCAGCTGCCTCCTGCACACCCATCACTGGGGACGTGCCGCAACCAATGTACATGCCCATGACCGGAATCGAACCTGGGACCCCTCAGTCCGCAGGCCGACGCCCTATCCACTGAGCCAAACCAGTTTCAGCTATTTGCTTTATTTAAGAGTTAGTTAGGTGCCATGGGACTCACAGTTCTAGTGTCTTCATTTTGGAGGTTGTGCCCCAGTGGTCACACAAAGAGGAAGAGGTAGGGACTGCCGTGATTTGTGGGCACCCACTGAGCTGCTGCTGCTGCTGCTGCTGCTCCTAGAACTTCTGGAATGCCTTTCTTGCAGCTGTTCTGGTTCCTGCTATTTCGGCTTTTCTTCTAAATGTCTGCCTTCTCAAAAATAAGAAGTTACCTTCTTCCCCTGGTTGGCGGAGTCCAAAGGAATGTCTAAAATCCATGTATTTCCTCTTTGCAGTTTCTTACGTATTATCACACACAAAACAGTGTTCACCAAAAATATTATTGCCATTACCAGATAGAACAGACCATGAAACCAGACAAGAGTTGGTGACTCCTGAAGGCCTGTAAAAGAAAATGACAAAGAAATGCCATTCAGAAACCAGAGGGATCTGACTGAGTTATGTGGAAGGGAAGGTTGGCTGAGACCTGCTATGCCTGTCCCCCGGTGGCTCCAGCTGAGCCACCTGGGGCAGGCTCCTCAGAAGACCGGAACTGCCAGGGCTGTCAGTGGACAGAGACAGCTGCTGTTTCTATGTAATGCTTGAAATGAATTTGGGTTGAAGATAAATATTTCCCCCCAACCCAAGGAGTTTTTCTTCTGGAGCTCACAATCCCTTCATCTCAGCCAGATACAGACATTTGGGGATTTATGTGCAATCCACAAAATCCCCAGCCGCCAACCTACCATGTGAGCTCCTTTAAGTAAGAATTGCTTCCCAATACCTGTGACAATAGATAGGATGAACTTTATATATTGCTGATTAGATTGTCAGGGAAAGGGGGGGGGGGGGGGGAAGAAAAGGAAGGCAGAGAGAGAAAAAGAAAATAAAGGAGAGAAAAGAAAGAAGGAAACAAACCGAGAAAGGAAGGGAGAGGGAATGCAGTGATGTATATAAGGAGAAGAGTGACGTTTGGAATCAAGGTTGGAAAGGCCTGTTCATAGGTTTTTCCTGTCCGAGCCATGAATCCACTGAAACAGACCTCAGTCCCATAGGAGAAAAGAGAGCATCTTCTTTTGTGCCAGTCAGTTCCCATCCTTCTCACTCACCAAGCACTTGAAGCTCCAACTCAGGGCTGCGCTTGATGACACTTCCGTCTTCTGTGGCAGCCTCACACCAGTAGAATCTGGAATCTTCTCTGCTAGCGTTTCCTAGCCGGTAGTCAGAAGACGTGGTCCTGTTCACCAGGATCTTGTCTGCCATGTAGAAGGAGAAGTAGAGCCGCACGGGAGGGCTGTGTGGGGGCACCCTTGTTTCACAGCTCAGACTGACTGGATTCCCCTCCAGGAAGGGGGACGAAGAGGATGCTCTCAGCACTGGGGCTGGAAACAGCTCTAGAGAAAAAATTGACAGTTACCTGACTCAGAGTCAAGATTCTTTTTGCAGAAGATATACCCCCTCCTCTTTTGGGAACCTGTCGCTGGAGAGTGCACCCAGAAAACAATTTCTCCCACTTCCAGTAGAGAGACATTCTTGGGGGTTCCTCATAGATACAGTTACCAGCTTGCTCATATCCTACTGGGGAAAATCCTCTACATGACTCATGCTTCCCTGACTACTACTTATTGTATGACCATGCCCTAGCAAGTTCAGTGTCTCACATGATAATCTAGGCCAAAGGTCAGCAAACTCATCAGTCAACAGAGCCAAATATCAACAGTACAATGATTGAAATTTCTTTTGAGAGCCAATTTTTTAAAAAAAACCTCTTCTAACGCCACTTCTTTAAAATAGACTCGCCCAGGCCGTGGTATTTTGTGGGAAGAGCTACACTCAAGGGGCCAAAGAGCCTCATGTAGCTCGCAAGCCTCAGTTTGCCAATCATGGATCTAGGACAATAATTTCTTGCCCTTTTTTTTTTTTCATACACGAAAAAAAAAAAAGGTGCTACTGGTTATGAGTATTGAGATGAAAGGCCATTAAAGAGTCACAACAAAGGCCATGGGCAACTAGAGCAGAGGAAGCTACTTAGTTAGCAGAGGTTCAGAAAGAGGTGGAACCAGAGAGGCCACCTTTCCTCTGAGAGATAGATGGAAAGTATAACTAAGTCCCAATGTCTTCCTGGCCTCTGTTTCTTATGGAGCTTTTATGAGAGCCCATGGGTTATGGTCTAGTAACTCCCTAGCTACCCTGAGTGAGTCTCTATTCCTTGCAACTAAAATAAAATTGATGAAATGGATCCTCACTATGCCCTGGCCTTGACATTCGCTCCTGGAATTATTAAAGCGACACCTTCGTATGCTGGAAAGAGCAATACCTGGGACCCGGGAAACCTCAGTTCTGGTCCCCACCCAACTGCTGGTCACCTTGCGGCCTCTAGTGAGGCAGTTCACCTCCCTGGAGCTCAGTTTCTTCATTTGCACATTAAAGTGGTGATTGATGATGGTTTCCCTGGTCCTTAAAACAACATACAGGTCTGTGATCATTCAGATACAATACCTTTCACCGTGATAGATACTCCTGCGGATTTGAAGTGCTTGTTTCCCTCGCAGTGATAGATGCCGCTGTGACTCAGGTTGGTTTTCGGAATGGTGAATTCAGAATTCCAAGAAGAAAATCTGAAGGTCTTGTTATTGTGGTAGAAAAGTATATTGGACACCTTCTTATTCTTCCATCCCAGACACCTCAAGGCCAGAGGTTTTCCTTCAATGACGACTCTGCTAGAGACCTGAAGTAGTAGCCAATCTGGAAAATGTGGACCCAACATATACATATACAGTGTCAGAGGTACAAGGAAGCCAGCGCTTTCTTTTTCTCCTTGAACATTCCAACCTACAGCCCTGCTGATTCTGAAGCCCATCTCCCTCCCATTCATCGAAAGAAAAGTCATCTTTATCTGCATCCCTGTACACAGCCCCTGTTATCTTCCCTTTGCAGATCTTAGAAGTTGGTTGGGCCAAAACCGGTTTGGCTCAGTGGTAGAGCGTCAGTCTGCGGACTGAAAGGTCCCGAGTTCGATTCCGGTCAAGGGCATGTACCTTGACTGCGGGCACATCCCCGGTAGGGGGTATGCAAGAGGCAGCTGGTCGATGTTTCTCTCTCATTGACGTTTCTAGCTCTCTATCTCTCTCCCTTCCTCTCTGTAAAATATCAATAAAATATATTTTAAAAAAAGAAAAAAAAAGAAAAAGTTGGTTGGGACAGAAACAGTTTATCCTACATGATAGCAGTTTATCCTACGTGATAGGCAGTATTCTAAGGTGACCCCAAGAAGTCACACCCTTAGCTAATCCCCTTGAGAGTGGGTGGAACCTATAACTTGTTTCTAGAACCAGAATATGACAAAGGTTATGGGATGGCAGTCCCATGATGATGTTGCATTATCTCAGACTCCATCTCAGCTGTCTGGACTAAGAGACTCTCCCGCTGGCTTGAAGAAATAAGCTGTTGTGCGAAAGCCTATGAGAGGCATAATGCAGGGAGGCTCCAGCTGACACCCAGCAAAAAGGTGGGGACTTCAGATATCACTCTATCTATCTATCTATCTATCATCTATCTATCATCTATCTATCTATCTCCCTCCCTCCCTAAAAAAAAAAGTGGAGGAGGCCAGGGACTTCAGTCTTAAAACCACAAGGAACTGCATTCTGCCAAGGACCACGTGAGTTTGGGAGAACTGCTGGAAGGACCACAGCCCAGTCGACACCCAATGGTAGCATCAGGAGAACAACTAGCTACGATGTGCAGAGACTCCTCTCCAATGGGAAGATCCTTAATGTATGTTGTTTTAAGCTAAGCTTTTTGTTCCATAGCAACAGAACACTGATACACTCTAATTCCTGACTGATTTGTTAATGGGATCATACATACTGAGACCAAACTCACAAAATGGCAAACACATCCATATTTATGCTTCTAAATTGATAGAAATACTCACATATGTACAGATCAGTGATATAGCTGATAAAAACAAGCTCCAAGTCAAATGGGCCCTCACTTTTTTTTTTTTTTTTTTTGGGGGGGGGGCGGGGGAAATAGAGGGGGCTCACTTTTGATGGCTACCTCTACACATAACCAAAACTACCTCCTTTACTTTTTCCTTCCCTGGGCAGTTGGCTTGGCTGAAAATGAGGTTCTTAAAGGACAAAAGTGGAGAAGAGACAATAGTGCTTATCCCTCCTTTAGAATTTATCCAAGAATGGAAGGCAGGCATTTAGTGCTACATGTAGCATGATTTTCAGTCTTGGATGCCACCATAAGTTGCTTCCAAATGTTAATACTCTTTCCTCCCTTTTCCTGTTCTCAACCAAGAGGTACTCAAAGACTGCATTACCCAAACACAGGCACCTTTGCTTTATGCATCCACAAACAGAGTGGGAAATTTTAACCTCCATCAGGAACTGTCCAAAATACAAAATACTAGCGATTATATAAAAGATTTGAATGAAATCAGTAGACTTAATTTCAGTAGATTTACAGAGAATGCTGTACCTCAGAGAAAATTCACATACTTCCCAAATACACATGCAAGAGTTATACAAAGTGAACACGTACCAGGCTACAAAGCAATTTTCAACAAATACCGGGGAACTGATAGATTGAGCACAAATTCTGACCAAAATACCATAAAAGAAGCAATCAATAACAAAAACACCCTCCAAACACACTTCTAAATAAATCATGAGTCAAAGGAAGAAAGAAAGTTATAAGTGAAATTTAAAATATTTAGCCTTAAAAGATAACAAGAATATTACATATAAAAAATTTAGCAGACATTTATTTTCTATTCAAAAACCCATCTCTCACCTGATCAGCATGGCTCCGTAGTTGAGGTCGACCTGTGAACCAGTAGGTCACAATTAAATTTCTAGTCATGGCACAAGCCCTGGTTGTAGGTTTGACCCCAGGTGTGGAGCATGCAGGAGGCAGCCCATCAATGATTCTCATCATTGATGTTTCTCTCTCTCTCTCTCTCTCTCTCTCTCTCTCTCTCTCTCTCTCTCTCTCTCTCTCTCTCTCTCTCTCTCTCTGAATGCAATAAGAAGAAAAAAAAAAACTTTAGAAAAACACACCTCCCTATTTTTATTACTTTGCAGTAGAATGAGAACGCTCATTTTAAACCACGGGATTAGGACGTGGATCCACGAACCAGCTGTATTCTCTTGGTCTCAGCACACACAGACTTAATTGAAGTGGCTGAGAGCTAATATAACTGCAATTAAATCTTCCATTGCTGACTTATTGGGGCAACCTTTTTTTTTTTAAAGGCATAGAAAACATCAACCAAAAACTTGATGCCTTGTACTGTAGTAAAATTAAAAACCTTTGCTCGTTGAATAAGGAAACAACATAATGACACAGCAAAAAGGCAGGCCACAGCGTGGAAGTTATTTGCTATACTTGAAAAAGGGTTCATAGCCAGAATATATAAAGAGGTCCCACAAATCAATAAGGAAAAAGCAGGCAATGAATTTTTTTTTTAATTGGCAAGAAAACCTAAACAAATACTTTACAAAAGAAGGTGTCCAAATAAATAATAAACACGTGGGAAATGCTCGATATCATTAGTCATCAGGGAAATACACATTAAAATCAGAGTGTGACACCACTGCACATGTACCAGAAAGGCTACAGGGAAAAACACAGAAAACACCTACTCTTGAGGAACAACCACAGCTCTCACCCTGGGAGTGTGATGTGGCCTAGCTACTTCATATTTTGTGACCCAGCAATTCCCCTCGTAGGTGTATTCCAACAAATATGTGTATATGTGTGCACCAGAAGAAATGTACCAAAAATGTCCACATTTATAGCATTTGTAAGAGGTCCAAACTAGAAACAACCCAAGTCCATGAATAAAATGGGTAAAGATGGAATAGTATACAATAATGAGAACAAACTGCAACTTTACAACAGTTATGAATCTTACAATCCACCTGAGTAAAAGAAGCCAGACACATCACTTCTGGGCCTTTTGGCTAAGATCAAGTGTAGTATCTGTTCTATCAGTTTAATGCCTGATACATCCTCTGAGGACCTTATAGTAAAAGTATTTTGGAATAGGGAGATGGTATAGAAGCTTGCTCCATCCCCTCCAAGCATTGTCCTGGTATTGTAGTACCTCCAGAACAGTGCACGCACAAAACAAGGAGGAGGAGGAGCCAGACACAGAGAATACATACTATACCCATTTATATGAAGTAAAAAAAAAAAAAAAAAAAATCAGGTGAAAACTCTATGGAAGTCAACTTGGGAATAGTGACTAGAAATGAACTAGAGGGAGTTTCTGTGATTCTGGAAACATTTATCTGGGTGCAGTTTACTTGTGAAAAAATCACTAAGGTATACACTGAAGGTTTATTGTATATGAAAATTCACGCTAAAATATCATATAAAAATATAAAATACCTGCCATGAAAAACTCTTTGGGGTTCATTGGACTCAAATGCACAATCATGTTCTAATAGCCATTGCTGACAGGGGCCTCTCGTGCCCTTTGCATTTATGGGAAAGCCACAGACGGAGCTGCCAGCTTCCTGCTCCATGTTCCTGCTGGCTAAGCAGGATCCATCTAAAGCAGTTTCCGGAATCCATTCTCAATAAGTCGCCAAGGCTGGGGATTCTAGAGGCAAAGAAAATGACCCAGCCCTGGTTCTGTTTTTTTTTTTTTTTTTTTTTTTTTTTTTTTCCCTTGAACTATGAAGCGCTTCTGCTTCTGCTGGAACTACACAGAGTCTCTTGTTTAAGCAGTTGTCAGCTCCCCTTGCCTCTCGAGTATCGGAACTGATTCTTAGAGTCCTAAAAGACTTGAGAAACTGAGCTTTTCCTCTGACATTCTCAACATATCCGTAGCTAAACCACATTTCCTCCAAAAGCAGTCCAGTCCACAGAAATCTAATCCTGCCACCAGTCTGGGTTCAACAGCTGCATTATCAGTCACACAGAAGTTTTAGCTTAATGCGTTTGAATAATTAAATAATCCATTTGAATGGTTTACCCTGAATAATGAAACATTTTGCTCTAGAGAGTATTGCAGTCTCCATCCCTTGACAAGCAGAAACTTACAGATTTAAAGCAGAAGGTGGGGTTTTATCTGCTTCTATTCATCAAGCAGTAAAAAAAAAAAAAATAAATAAAAAATAAAAATTTTAATCAAGGATTAAAGTCTCTCAGTAATTTCATATCCAAGATATTATCTTATTATGCCCCCAGAGGATCTGTATAAAGATATTTACTGCAGCATTGCTTGTAAAAGCAAAGAATGGAAACACACTGGAAGTTTAGGGAAAATGGTTCAATTAATTACAGCACAGCCTTGTGGCAGACATTTAAAAGTACGAGGTAGATCTCTTAATAAAAACAGAACTTCGTAGTATTTTAAGTAATAAAAGTAAGGTGCAGAACAGTATATAGAGTATTCTACCAACCAATTTCTTTTAATTTCATATTATTAACAATTTTGTTTCCGTGGAAGTTGACTGCTGGACTAGGAGTTTGGGGTGAAAGGGAGACTTTATTATTCATCTCTGTACATTTCTCCAAATCACTACTATTGACTCTGGGCAGGTATAACTTTTTTTTTCTTTTTTTTCTTTTTTCAAGAAAACTAGATAATTTTGAATAATGATAAAATCGTAGGGTGAGTTTTACTCGAGATACCCTACTCACACCTGCCCCGGTTGGGGTGCTCTGAGGACATAGTTTAAGAACTCTAATGTGATCTTTCCATTATCTTGACTTTATTACACCTGGTAGGCACATAGAGCTGAGACTCATATTCAGATAAATCAACACACACACACACACACACACACACACACACACACACACACACACCCCTGACATCCAAAGAGGAGAAAACACAAAGGAAGACTGTTTTTCCAGCGCTCCTGCTCCATGCCATGCTTACCACTGCGGACTTCCAGGTAAACCGGGTCACTTGGCATGGAGGCACCTCTCTGGCACCGGTATTCACCAATATCATTGGCACTGGCGGCAGGGATGCTGTAGCTGGCAGCCAAGGTCTCAATGGCTGTGCCATTGAGAAACCACTGTGTAGAGCTGTCCCCAGGCAGGGGGGGTCCCTCACACCGAAAGATTACATTTTCCTCTGGGAACACACTGACCCATGGAGGCTCCAAAGTGATCACGGACTTGGCAGTGTCTGCTTGTAGGGAGGGGGGTGAGGAGAGTAAAAAAAAAAAAAAAAAGCAAACAAGTGGAGTGAAAGGAGAGGCTCTGAATCCCTGATGAGGTTTTCTGGAGAGCACAGGAAAACTATGTATATTCAGATTACATCGTAAAAAACCAGACAAAAGCTAGCTGTTAGGAATGTCCAAGCCTCGCTGTAGAGGGATCTGATCATGTTATGAAATCTGGGTGTTGCTGATTTGGGATTCCTGAGGATTAAGTGATCAATTTAGGTGTCACTGTTGGTAAACAATAAAACGGGGTTTTCAGCTGGTGCAACTAGATTGGAGCCGGTTTGCTCTATTGTCTCGGAGGGCTCATTTCAAGCCTTAAATCAGCATCTGTATTGGAAATCCGGGTTCGCACCCCCCACTTCGAAGCCTCTAGGGCAGCGGTTCTCAACCTGTGGGTAGTGACCCCTTTTGGGGGTCGAATGACCCTTTCACAGGGGTCGCCTAAGACATCCTGCATATCAGATATTTACATTACTATTCGTAACAGCAGCAAAATGACAGTTATGAAGTAGCAATTAAAATAATTTTATGGTTGGGGGTCACCACAACATGAGGAACTGTCTTAAAGGGTCGAGGCATTAGGAAGGTTGAGAACCACTGCTCTAGTGTCTGCTTGATTCTCTCTGAGAAGAAGAAGAAAAAAAAAAAACCTCTGCTTTCTCATAAAAGGGACTAGTTTGGGGGACATTTATGTTTGCAATTTTGGCCCTTTCCTGCTCTTTAGACATTTAGTCCAGAGGTCAGAGCTCATTTAGAAAAGTCTTAGAGAGAAACCTTACAAACCAGGATTTTATCAAAATCATACTCTGAATAGTGGGGACTTCATATAACCTATAAGGCTCCTTTCTATCCTCTCTCCATTCTCTCTTCTTTAGGATAATGGAACCTATCTTCTGGAAGCAGAAATGTGCCCGAGGAAGAGAAGTTGAGTTAGACATTACTCACATGTTTGCGCACAAGCAGCTGGAACTGTAAGAGACCAAAACAATGGAGATATCATCAGTTCATCAGCGGGTGATGGCAATGAAGGGAGATTGAGACAGACAGATTTAACATAGACTCCAAGAGGTCAGCTTAGGTTTCCTTTGTTTCTCTCCACTTCCTTTCCCAAAATCAGGTACCGATGGTCCTGAACAGTCAACAGTTGGTTATTGATGGGGCTTTATTCTGAAATGATGCCTCCTGGCTTAATGTTACCTCAGAGTCTCTCTTCCCATCCTTTGGATAGAATAAACACCAAGAAACTGTGGAAGCACAGACATAGCCGTCTCCATATTCATGAGTTCTAGCTAGGATACTAAAGAAAGTAAGTAAAATCCTGAGCCCCGCCCTAGCCGGTTTTGGTCAGTTGATAGAATGTCGGCCTGCAGACTGATGAGTCGTAAGTTCAATTCTGGTGGCACATTCCTGGTGTATGGACTCAATCCCTTTGGGGGCATGCAAGAGGTAGCCAATCAATGATTCTCTCTCATCATTGATGTTTTTCTCTCTCTCCCTCTCCCTTCCTCTCTGAAATCAATAAAAGTATAAATAATTTTTTTTAAATCCCAAGTTCCCTTAAGCCAGTGCCTGTACCCTTCTAGTTACCCTTTCTAAGCCCAACTTACCCCAAAGGAGCAGAGCTGTTAGAAGCCACATGTTATCCCCAAGGTGTGGGAGCAGTGGGAACTGTAACATGTGAGGCTCCGGAGAGACTCTACTGAGAGATCTGGAGCCACGATTAGAAAAGAGGAAGGAAATTACTTCTTCTGACCATTTTCATCATGTTCCTTTTCTGGGAAATACATCCAGAATTCTTGACGCACGCTCTCCCCTTTCCACACTTGTTAGCCTATCTTCTCGAGTTATAATAGAAAGTCTGGGTTTTGGGCTCATGAAGCTCTAAGAATCTGAGGGTAGGTCTAATGTTTCCTTGACATTCTATTCTGATTACATTCTCCTTCTACTAATTATGTTACTTGGAGGCTAAGATATGGCAAATCCCCATTTTTAGAATTGGTTCAAAGCCTGGCTAATTCCTCCAAACGTCGACCAGGGCGGGCACTTTCTCTAAGTGGGCCTCTTGTTGTCTAAGGGGAGGTACTCCAAGCACCTCCAGAGGCTGCTGCCTCCCGGGTTTGCAAACTGTTTACCTGCCTGCGTGAAGTCTCTCCTTTTGCTGAGCCCTAAGCTGGGGACTCCTGTTGGCATTGGGCTGGTGGCAGTGACCTTTGGCTGACAGGCCTTCTAGGACATCTTAATCTGTGGTTGGTAGTGCAGGTCTCCCTAACTTACCCATCTTCAGGGGTATCATAGTCATTCTTGTTTTTCTGCTCATTTAAAAATATTTGTTGGGCCCTAACTAGTTAGGCCCAGTGGATTGAGTGTCGGCCTGCGACCTGAGGGGTCACAGGTTCGATTCTGGTGGCAGGCACATCTCCAGTAAGGGGTGTGCAGAAGGCAGCTGATCGGTGTTTATCTCTCATTGATGTTTCTAACTCTCTTTCCCTCTCCCTTCCTCTCCATAAAAAATCAATAAAATATATTTAAATATATATATATATATATATATATATATATATATATATATATATATTTGTTGGGCTTTGAATTAAATAACATTAAATATGTAAATTAACTTGGGGAAGGTTTGTATCTTTATGTCACTGAGTTTTTTAAACCATAAATTTGGTATATCTAATCAATGTTTTGGTGTTCCTTTCATAGCATTCCTAAGTTGTATAGTCTTCTCCATATATGTTTTGGACAGATCTTATGGGATTTCTTCTTAGAGGGGTGTGTGTGTGTGTGTGTGTGTGTGTGTGTGCATCTTTGCTAATTCAAATGGTAATTTAAAATTTATAATTTCTAAATGTCTGCTTATGGTGTAATGGAAATGCAGTTGATTTAGGGAGCAATGATTTTATATCCAGATTAGAGGCCCCATGCATGAAATTTGTGCCGGAGGTGGGGAGGGGACCTTAGCCCAGCCTGCACCCTGGTGATCAGTGCACATCATAGCGACCAGTTGTTCCACTGTTAGGTCGATTTGCATATTAGCCTTTTATTATATAGGATACTTAAAATGTTTTTCAGATTATTTATTTGTAGATTCTTAGGTCTTTTTTGTAGACATTCATATTATCTTTATTATAGAGCTTTATTTCTTCCTTTCCAATACATATATGACTATTTCTGTAGGATTTTGGAAGATACATTTTTTTTAGGAAATGATGCTTTCTAAGTTTGCTTAATCATTTCACTGAATGTTTTTTCTCTAAAAACTGAGAAGATACTTTTTCTCCTTAAGTCTGTTGTGGCAAATTATATGTTTGGATTTTCTGCTGTTTGTTAAAAAGAACTTATATTTCTGAGTAAATCTAATTTTATCATGATTTATTAGAAATTTTTCAGTGCTGATGGATTTGACTTGTCATTGTTTTGTATTTAATATTTCTGCACTTATACTTATCATAAATTTCACCAGAAGTTTATCAATGCTATTAGTCTTTTCAAAGAACCAACTTTAAACTTTGTAGATTATATGTATTGTATCTTGGGTTTTATATCTTAATTATTTTGCTCTTATCTTTATTATTTTCTTTCTCCTTTCGATTTTTCCTATCCTTTTTCTAATTTTAAGTTTCATGCTTAGATTATCAATTTTAGCCTTTGTTCACTTTTAATATAAGAGTTTCTTTTTTATTCTAAGTATTATTTTAGACAAACCCATAAATCTGGATTTATAATGTCTCAATCATTGGTTATTGATAAATGTTTTAAATATTCTTGACTTTTTTAATTGTTTTTTTCTATTTTTGCATTTTTTTCTTTTTTCCATTTCCCTCTTCTTGTCATTTATAATTTTTACACACTATTTCTATTTTTAGTGATTCTGCTTTTTTATATAAGAAATTATAAAGATAATCATTAAGATAAAATAGAGGAGAATCCTTTCACCAATTACATGCTCTAGGCAGTGGCAACAAGTTCATGGCTGTGGAATCTTATTGTATAGAATGTTTTCTGTACCTCTATTTTATCACCTTTTCCCTCAAACTATTTCAACTTACGGCAAATCTATCTATGAATATGCTGACTATCTGCACACTATCAATCCTTTCAACATCGGACAGATATGCAAAATGATAATAATAACAATAACCTCCTTTAAAACAACATAACCCAGAATTTCTCTAAGAACTTTACTTTTGCTGATATAGCTCTGTCCCTCAATATTCTGAGGAACTGATGATGAAAAGGGTAGTGATATTTCCCTTGCAATAACCCATGGGAGGAGGCATAGTGGAGAGCTGGAAAGGAAATGCTGTTGTAAGTAAAATGGACAGTTTGAAGAACATTTTACAATACAATACTATGTGTCAGCTGGAAGCTTCCACTCTTGTGACTCAGTTGAGTGCTTCTCCCTACACTTCCTCCAGCACAATCCAGACAATAAGTAACCTTCACTCTTGTGATCAAGGTTTGTGAAAGTCAGACCAGTTTTTCTGGACATGGAAAAGCTCTCAGCTCACAGAACTACTAGGGTTGGGTGGGTGTGGATTGATGGGCTCAGCAATATTTTGTCCTGGGAAAGGTTATTTGAATGAAAAATCTTATACTCGTGAGAATCATAAGAAGTACATAAGTGGCCTTAATCCTTGCAGCTTTTTGCACAATGGCTTTGTTTTTATGTTTGTCCCCAGCCTACATATTAATAGATAAGGTTGCCTTTTACTCATAGAGTAACTTGTTTCCTGCCACCACAACTTAATTTCTCTTCCTGAAATAGCCTAGTCTAGGCTGATTCTTAGCAGGAAGTGAAAACAAAACTTATCTTACAGACAGAACAACAAAAATTTAAGTAGAGTCAGTTATCTAAACAGGGCTGGAATATTCCAACATTTTACCTAGAACATATTATTATCTCGATTTTATCTTTGAGAAATAAAACTAAACAAGGTCAAGTAACTTGATTATAGTCAGAAAGTTAGTTAATGGTGCAGAGACACAAAGTAGACCCAAGTCTGGTTTTGTGCAGTAGTGATATAATAACTATAGGATTTCATAGAAACAGAATGATTGCTAATTGAGTATGCTTCCCTCTGCCCTGCGACTCAGGAGTCTTTTCTCAGGCAATTAGTAGCTTTATCATGTGCAAGGGGAAGCAGCTGAAATTTAGTCAGTGCCAGGTTCTTTCTGGGGAAAATTTGTTCCTGGCAAGTGTTAACGATTTAAAAAAAAAAATTGAAACCTATAAAGAATTTTAGTGAGTTTATTTGAGCCAAATTGTTGACATACCCGGGAAGCAGAACCTCAATAAACTGAGATAATGCTCCAAAGAATGGCGGGTTACATTTCTGTTTATACATTGCAATCAAAGGAGGGACATAGGTGGGTTACATTAAATTCATTGGTGATGGATTAAGGAGGTGGGATAAAGCAAAGCGGTGGGAAACCCCTAGGATTGGATAAAAAGTAAAATGATGGACACATATTTAGGTGAGTGCAGGAACAATTAACATGTTAAAGAAGGAATTTGAGGCTTTGTTCCTGGCGCCCACCACATTTGGTTGTGCCCCAGGGACTCCAGAAAAAGGGAAGTTACAAGTTACCCAGACACCTCACAGATATGTTATCTTAGAGGCAAAAAGTCAAATGGGCTCAGTAAAGGAGATCTAAGTTGATCTTTGTCAGGGAAAATATCGGCTTCCTATTTGTAGTTTAAATATTTAATTTTCAAACCATCTTTTGTGGTTATTTTAGGTCTCTGAGTTTGCAAGACTGCCATGCAGGCCTCCCCTGAGCTTGTCAGGTTAGGCTCCTTTAGTTCACACAATAGAGGTGTAGTGAGAGGGAAGAAATACGCATTTATACACAGTGGCTTAGCACTTGGCAGGGGTAGTACGTGCTCTCTTATCTTCTGACTTTTCAGAGGGTGCACACAGACTTTTTATAGTCAAAAGGAACAAATTTTCTCTACAACTACAGTTTAACATATCCGACTAGAACTCAATAAGGCCCTGCTCAAGAGAGCATTTCCAGTCTGGATCCTCTGACCTTCCTCCTTCTCACCTGGCTCCATGAGGATGCTGTAACACAGGTGTAATGGGTGGTTTATGTCTTGGAAGGAGTGTTTGTTTTTGTTCCTGTGTTTGTTCTCGTTGCTAAGACACAAAGGCCTGAATAGAATTCCTTCGTAGCAGTCTAAGTAAGAGGATGACAAACACCAACCCAAGGAGCACTGAGGTGGTTCCTCAGACATAACCATATCTTTTCCCATCCCACCACTCACTTCTAGATTCAAGTGTTGGTATTTTTGATCTTAGAAACATTGCAGTCCCCAACATGACCCAGACTTTAGTCTCTACAGTTTCAAAAACTATGGTCTATGAGACTAGATGAAACAAATGAGATTAGAGGTCTAACAGTTCAAGAATTTCCTGAGATCATATCATTATTCTCCTGGCTTTGGTTAGAAATATGGTTATCTTAGCTCAAACAGAGGGCATTTGGCTCAGTTTAGAAAATTCATTTGTACTGAGGCCAAGGGGGCTCAGTAATTGAGCATCAACCTATGAGCTAGGAGGTCAGGGTTCGATTCCCAGTCAGGGCACATGTCCAGGTTGCAGGCTCAATCCCCAGTGTGGGGCCTGCAG